GGGGGGGGGGGTGTCCTTAAGGGCAAAAACCAGATTTGAAGGAGAGGGGGCTATACCTTGCTTTTTTGCTTTTTAAAAGAGGCATTATCTTGTTCAGGATAGTCTAAAAATTCTCCCAGGAGGAGCGGTTTGGGAGTTAGGATTCATCAGGCCAAGGGGGCTGCAGAGGGTGGGCAGACTTGGGGTGGGACTGGAGCAAAAAATGGCCCCTCCCAGGGGTTGCTGTCACCACTGCCCGCTCTCCAGGAAGCACCAGCATGTATTGTGGGCCACTGGCTCTGTTTAGCTGGCCTGTGGTTACCTGCAAGGCTAGGCCACCAGCCCAGGGAGCAGGGCCAGGGGCCTGGAAGGCGCATGGGAGGCTGGACCCCTGAATTTCCTCACTCCTCTGTTCCCGCCCTGTCCTCTCCCTGTCCAACATCCTTCTCTCTGTGTTCCATGACACTCTTTGTCTGCCTTCAAGTGCCCCAGGCTGAGGAAGCCCCAATGGGGCGTGACTGGTCTAGGCGGATGTCAGTGGAAGGAAGACTCCCAGCTTTGCCAGCTTCTCCCCACCTTCAGCCCCTTGCCTTGGGGCCCTTTGGACACCCCTCCCAACTACCTTCATCCCAGGACTCCTGAAGATTGGGATTTCGAAGCCACTCCTGGGCCTTCCAACCTACCCACAGCGAGTTTCAAAGAGCTGGTTCTAGGGGTTGCAGGAAAGAAAACCAAACATCCCCCCTCTGCAGCTGGGCACAGTGTCTGAAATTCCACCATTAACGCTTGTCCCTCAAGTTTCAGGCCTCAGTTTTCAGGGAAAGAGCAGAGGATATAAAGAGTCTAGAGCAAGTGAAGGAAACAAACAGATTATAGCCAGGCACAAAGACACAATCAAGAGATTGTTTCAACAAATGTTTGTTGGACAGAAATGGTATGACTGTTTTGGTGTCAGGGCTCCTGAGCTCTGTCCTTCAAGGGTAACAGACTTAGATTAAGGGTGGAGCCCAGAGTGGAGAACAAAGGCTCTATCTTAGGGGAGGGCAGTCAGGGAAGACTTCCTGGAGAAAGAGCATTGGAGCTAGGGCTGTGAAGGATGAGTAGGAGTTTTCTAAGAGGGAAAACAAAGGGCATTCCAGGTGGTGGGAACTGCATAGTCAAAGATCTGGAAGCAGGAAAGAATAGGCTAACTGGTTATGGCAAATCCAGGATGCTGGGGTGAATGTGGGAAGGAGAGACTTCCTGAAAGGTTGGCAGAGGGAGCCCTGGGCTGGGGTATTCAAAGACAGATTACTGGAGGTGGGGACTGGAAATACAGAGGAGAGAGGAAGGGTCTTTAACTCATGTGATATCAGTGGGCCCAGCCATCTCTGCTTGAGGGGCTGTTGGATTCCTCCTCAGATGTATCTTTCCTGGTCTCCCAAGGTGGGGCAGAAAAGTCCAGGGCAGAAGAAATTAGAGGAGGGGCCTCTGGTGGCAGTAGGTGGATCTCACTTCCCAGTTGGGGAAAGTGAAGCCCAGAGAGAGGGCACCATTCATGCTTAAATAGCTTAGTGTGTTGGGGACCTGAGGCAAACATTTGAATTTGGGGAGATGGAAGAAGTGACAGGTATCCTGGTTCCCAGAAAACTAGTGTTAGGATTTGAGCTGTGCCTGGGGCCCGTGCCTCAGTTTCCCGTTCTGTCTTTTGATCAGCTTTGTGTGATGTCCTGGCCACTCTCAAAGAATCCACATCTCTCACACCACCCGCTAGGCCCCATGCCAGCTGCTCAGCTGTGTGGTGTGCCAGGCCTCATTAGGCTGATCCTGTTATCCTACCCCAGGGAGCCCCCTCCTGCTCACCCCAGCTGCCTACAGGGCCAGCGCCAACCAGCCTGGTGTGGTCAAGGTGGGTGGGAACTTTATGGTCTAGTCACAGAGGGCTGGGCTAGAAATGGTGGGTCCGTGGGTCCTGAAAGCTGTGGCCCGGAGCCATACACACACACACACACACACACACACACACACACACACACAC